GATTTCCTTGTTTTCATTTTGAATTTCAAGGGAATCCAGCTGCTTAATCTCTTCTCACCTCTTAGGAAGATTTCATTCCAAGGAGATAACCTACAGTGCTCTTAATTAGCTCTGCAAATGGTCAAATGGGTTTTTCTCAAAGTGACATGGAAATTTTCTGCTGGTACACAGAAACATGGACAAGAAAACCTGAGATCTTGATTTTTTTTTTCAAAAAGTAATTTTATATGTAAGCTTTCTAATTAATAATTTCATTTTTATAAAATTTATCCTTATCTTTATGACTATAATTTCCTTTTTAATTTTCTCATAATTTAGGGAGAGATTCACACAATCAAACCATTGAGCCATTTCAGATACTATAGGGTGTCTTGCCTCATCTCCAGTTGCTGCTCAGAAAGGGTGTGAATCTCCTCTAAGTTCTGCGTTAGATCTTCCAGTCCTGTGCTGATGTCCTGGATACTCTAAGGTATCTAAAAAGGCACTAGGCCTTAGGTGTTAGAAAGAAACAATTAACAATATAAGTACATCTAATCAGAGAAAACCAACAATTATACTCGCATTTGTGTTTCTGTGAAAATTTGAAATTATTGTTCAAAAGTACTTCTGCAGAGTTCAGAAGTATTGACCAGACATAGATGGGCCTGATAGCTCATATAAATTCTGAGCTCTTCCAAAAAAAGAGACCTTTTTAATAGTTTTTTTTTGGTTAGTCTTCAAAATCAACAACTGTATGCAGGAATGTCCTGTGCCATGCTCAAATTATTTAAAGATTAGTGCACTAGTGCATTCTTCTCCTAGTGGCTCTACTTGCATTTGTTAGGAGAAGAATACAAAGTTATCTTGCTAAATGGATCTATATGTGCTACAGGCCACATATAACTAAAAGCAAAATGTATCTATTTTGACTGTTAATCTGTTTTCCTTCTTAGTGTTCGGAGACAAATTAAGAAAAGAAAGCATTTTTCACTTATAAATTTGATGTTACCTCTACATATCAGACCAGCTCTCCATGAAAGTTAGAAGTGGTGGCTAGTTTTACAATTACTCTTTTTTAAAAAATGTTATTCTGCTGGTAGTAGAACATATCAAGCAGTGAATTTCTGTATTGACAAGTCCTGGCCAAAAACAACAAAAGAAAAGAAAAAGTTTTTAAAAAAACCTGGAAAATGTTTATGAATTCTAATCCTCAGCACATGAATAAATACATCTGACAAACTGCAGAGTACCTTACAAAGGCCTTTCCCAACCTTTCTAATTTGAGTTCAATTACATGTGTAGTGTTTAGAAACCGAAGTTCGTTTTGCCAATGTTTTTAAACTGGGGTTGCACTGCATACCATTATTTGTAAAAGTGAAGGGCAGATAATAAGTTATAATTATCCTATTAATCACCTGTAAAGAATTGCATTCAAGGAAGAATGCATCCTCAAATTACAGTAATTGGTTGCTTGAAGAGAAAAGTTTTTTTCTGTCCTTGGCAGGAACACACTTGGAGTTTGCTGTGCAAGTTCATGAATATTATGCTGAAATCAAGCTATGTATATGCTATGGGCCATATGGTAGAGATTGCCATAAATCTATAGATGTCAACAGACGTGCTGATTTCTAACTGCTAACTAGGTATCAGGCTTCCTCATTAGTGTCTGCTCCTCAGCAACACCTTTACTTAATTCTTTTAAGCAAACATCAGTTTCTTACGGCAGTGTTGGTAACAACATCCTCTCTGGAGTATTTTTGTCTTCTTAGCAGCCACAGTATATTTTCTCTTTGAAATTCTGCTGCACAAGACCATTTAATGCATGTCCCTGAAGACAATGCTGTGAGTAAGAGTGCATGAGAATAATGCTTATTGCATGAGATGTTTTGAGATATTAATTATCATATTCTTTTCTAAGTGAATTAAAAATGGCTGCACGGTTGTTTGTTTTCATTCTCAGTTATTGAATTTTTGTTTCTCCTGGAATTTGATTTGTTGTGTTTTGCAAACAGACAGACTCACAATTTATCTAAGTTCCTGGTCTCTAATTACTCTAAAATAAAACGGAAGAAAGTCTCTCTTCCAGTACACTTATCCCATTCCTTTTTCTCACAAGGAGTATTTTTTCTCAGATAATGACTAGTCAGTGACAGCAGAAACAGCAATTGGGTGTGACATAGTGTTAAAACAAAACCAGGCAGTTTTCATAAATGGGTAGCACCACCAAATGGTCATAGCTGGATAGAGGGACCCAGGCATCTACACAGAGGAAGACACATCACATGAGGACATCACCCAGTGGGTGGATGATGGTAGAGCAGTGGATGTGGTCAATCTTGACTTCAGTAAGGCATTCGACACAGTCTCCCACAGCATCCTCACAGCTAAACTGACGAAGTGTGGTCTGGATGACCGGATAGTGAGGTGGATTGTGAACTGGCTGAAGGATAGAAGCCAGAGAGTAGTGGTCAATGGGACAGAGTCCAGTTGGAGGCCTGTATCCAGCGGAGTTCCTCAAGGGTCGGTACTGGGACCTGTATTGTTCAACATATTCATCGATGATTTGGATGAAGGAATAGAGTGCATGGTCAGCAAGTTTGCTGATGACACTAAACTGGGAGGAGTGGCTGACACACCTGAAGGCTGTGCTGCCATTCAGAGAGACCTGGACAGGCTGGAGAGTTGGGCGGGGAGAAATTTAATGAAGTACAACAAAGGCAAGTGTAGAATCTTGTATTTGGGTAAGAACAACCCCATGTACCAGTACAAGTTGGGGACTGAACTGCTGGGGAGCAGCACAGAGGAAAGGGACCGGGGGGTCGTGGTGGAGAGCAGGATGACCATGAGCCAGCAATGTGCCCTTGTGGCCAAGAAGGCCAATGGCATCCTGGGGTGTATTAGAAGGGATGTGGTTAGTAGGTCGAGAGAGGTTCTCCTCCCCCTCTACTCTGCCCTGGTGAGGCCGCATCTGGAATATTGTGTCCATTTCTGGGCCCCTCAGTTCAAGAAGGACAAGGAACTGCTTGAGAGAGTCCAGCGCAGGGCCACAAAGATGATCAAGGGAGTGGAGCATCTCCCTTATGAGGAAAGGCTGAGGGAGCTGGGTCTCTTTAGCTTGGAGAAGAGGAGACTGAGGGGGGACCTCATTAATGTTTATAAATATGTAAAGGGTGACTGTCATGAGAATGGAGCCAGGCTCTTCTCTGTGGCATCCAATGATAGGACAAGGGGAAATGGATATAAGCTGGAACACAGGAGGTTCCGCTTAAACATGAGGAAGAACTTCTTCCCAGTAAGGGTAACAGAACACTGGAACAGGCTGCCCAGAGAGGTTGTAGAGTCTCTTTCTCTGGAGATGTTCAAAACCCGCCTGGACGCGTTCTTGTGTGATCTGATCTAGGTTGTCCTGCTCCAGCAGGGAGATTGGACTAGATGATCCTTTGAGGTCCCTTCCAATCCCTAACATTCTGCGATTCTGTGATTCTGTGATCAGCATTGTACCATTTGCATTAAGCCCATGAGGGTGGGAATTTCAGAGAATGGGTTTAGAAGGGCTATGAAAAGCCACTGATGCTATAAGATACTACCACAGGGAAGACGACGACAGAGCATATCAATGACAGTGCCCTGGAATGGCAGCTGATCAGGAAGGCAACGCTGCATTCACTAAGATTGTCAAAGGCCTCAAGCTATGTTTTGTAATCCATATTTCAGCACCTAAATAAAAGGACCAACATTGAGCTGAGCATCTTTTTCAAAAGTGCAGGTCACCACACTGGAAAACTGTCTAAACTGTCTTTATGGGACTTGTCAAAGATGAAAGTAGAAAAAACCCAAGGAAAGCTTTATTTTTTTTTTTTTGTGGACATATCTACTTCTTTGCATTTCTGAGAATAATTTTGAAAAAGCTATTAGTTCATTCAGTGCATGTATAATGTAAAAAAATATTAAGCATAAAAATGTTTTTCTCAATGAGTCGTAAAGATGAAAAGCAAAGGTTTAAAAGAACATGTTGAAAGTCCTTCTATCCAATATCCATCAGAAGACACATTATTTCACATTATTCACATAGGTATGAAGTCTTAACGTGGAAGGGAACTGTCAGACTACCTTGCAATTTCGCACTAATATATTTGATTGGAGAGATTATATAGCTATTGCCACTCCCTCTGGGGGAAAAAAAATAAGTAACACACTGCATTTTATAAGAAGATCTTGCAAAATTCACAACTTATGGTAAAGGTTTTCGCCCTTTCATAAATTATTTTGGCTGCACCTTCAGCAAGCTTATTTTCCTTCTCGCCGTATTTATAGGAGAAAAGATGTTTTCTAGTGGACAACAGGAAAATTTTCAGTAATATGAATGCTTCTCTTTTCTTTGTGTACATAAATAGTACGTACTCTGCTTAGTCTGATAGTCCACTCTCAAAAGTTTTAAAATAATATATACAGTGTTTGATAAATCTTGGACACTCCATTTAAATCACATACAGATTAACCTGAATCTTCATTTATAACTTTAAAAAACCAAAATTTTTGAAGTCTTGTACACAGTTATTAATGTTGTTCAATTTCGCATGTCAGTTGAAGTGTCAAAATACTGCAAAGAATGTGCCTTTGCAAGTTCCTAAGATTACTAGACACCATGCAAAGGCAGGATTTTTTTCATGATAGTTATCTGGAAGGTCCAAACCTGATTGATGATATGCACACCAATGACTACGAATGGTGTCAAGTCTGGTATTCAGCACAACATCACCAAAAGCAATTTTGAGGTATTAAAACTTGCTCAGAACTGGGAATAATTTAGGCAAACACTAAAGGATTTATATAATCATCTAATTCAGAGGTATTTATCCAAACCAGCTCATCTGAGGTCTGCTCATTTCTAAGACATGTTCAGATTGCATGGTCTTTATATCAAATGCAGAAAGGACAGATGCCATTGTTACTAAAAGAAAAACAAAAGAGTTTCAGCAAACTTGGATCATTCTCTCCACCTACTATGATTTATGTTTTACCTCATTTCCTAAAAGGGCGTTTATACAGGCTTCAGATGCATCACAGATGGCAGTAAGGTCATGTCCTCCCTCCAGTGCCAGCACGACACGGCCATCCGCTAGCTTCAGCAATTGCTTGGTTAGGTGACCAAAACCTAGTATTCAAATACAGTAGTGCAAATAATTAAAGCAGAACAGATATTACTGGCATATTTCACATCTGCTGCATGAGAATGTAGAAAGCTCACGGATATTGCACAGGGAGCATGGGATACATTTAGTCCAGTATCCTGTTTCTGACTATGACCCACACCAGATGCTTTGAAGTTAGGTATATGGAACTTTGTACAAGGCAGATGTGAGATAATGTCCCTCATGCTGATCTCCAATAGCTGGAGATTAGTTGAAACATGAGGTTGTCTCTCTTCTTACCGTTGTTAACCATTATTACCCTGAACTCTCTTCCTATTTGCACACCAATGTGACATATATCCAAATTATTTAGAGAGATCTGACATAACCCTGGTCATTTATGGCATCGATATGACAAATAATATTTTAAGTCAAACCGTGATACTATAATTAAAAATAATTATATTTTTCAGATGAGATGATGAAATTTTTAATTACAAACTGCTTCTTCTCTGTACTTGAGGTTTGAGTATAGTGTACAACTCTGGACTGAAAAATAGTGGAAACGTATGTTACCTCTTAGCTCCATTTTGAAGTGGTTTTGGAAGCTGCACTAACAACTAGCTTACTTATTTTGATTCAAGGTTGAAACTGTCCAGAACTTCACAGATATCTCTACCAATATCACTCATTCCTGATCAACAATGTTCTCAGCAATTATGCACCACAGTCAAAAATGACAGTACTTCATTTTATGTGGTGATCTATAACTACATAAACACTTCCACAAAGTTTTCATCTGTGATTCAAGTAAAATTAATTTATTTCATTTTTAATGACAAGAAAAAATGCATTAAAAATATTAATTTGGAGAGAAGATTTGGAGAGAAGTTTTGAGGCAGTTTCCTGGGACAGCTGTTGTTTTTGATTAATCTCCTTTAAATGAGTAATAATAAGTAAAGCTTTGAAATTATTGAAGTTAAAAACCCATCACATCTTGCTGTTAACTTTTCCACTTGGTCTGCTCTAGTTGCTCTGCTTGGGGTCATCACTACTCATTCCAGTGTACTTCTTAGCCTTCAATAAAGCATTTAGAAGGTACTCACTAAAGTCTGGGGCTGTATAAAGACAAAAGGAAAATCAACATCTATTTAATACGTTCTAGTGCAGAAGGTCATCAAAAATTAAAAACTAAAAAAAAATTACAAGCATATTTTCTAGATAAATTTCCGAAGACACAGACTTAAGGTCTGATCTGGCAAACGAACAATCACACAATTATGTCCGTTTACATCTCAGGACTTTGTTAAGCACATGCCCAACTATTTTTAGAATAGGGACTTTAACGATACCAGATTTTGTTTAACTGTGCAGACAAAAAAAAAAAATCTACTTGCCACTTAATCTGTAGATGATCACAGAAGACTTGAGGTGAAATATTTTTTCCTTAAGCCACTCCACAATCTTCTGTACCCTCTAAGAACTGCAGTTTTGATTCTAGCAAAGTAACTACACTGTGGTTCAAATTACATACAGGGTTGAAAACCAAATAAAATCTTAAACTCTCATTTAAGCTCAATCTTTCCTCATGAAAGAAAAAAAACACCCACACTCAATCCTCTCTACAAAAGACCAAATTTAGAGAGGATAATAAAAGTGAAGGAAGGAGTGGAATGAGGATAACCTTTGATCTTTAGCCAATTTCTACTTTCTTTTACCTACAGGATTTATTTCTGCCTGCATGTTACACATGTGATCTTCAGATTCATAAGAAGAGAGTGCCAACAGCGTAAAGTGAGTTGTACACACAGCGTTTAAAGGAAATGAAGAAGAATGAACAGATGCAGACTCCCCACATCTACAACTCACCCTTTGGGTCTGTGAGAAATCCAACAGCAATTTCAAGACAACATTATCCTTCATGTTATACAGCTTCTGCGAAGAAGGGAAAGCTCTACCATGTTTCCCCTGCACATTTTGAAAATTTTGTATGACCACAAACGTTGCTACTGCCACATCGTAATTTTCTGAGGTATGTGTGGCAATAAATGAAAGACTCTCTCAACGCTTTTTGCTTCTTTTAGGCAACCATACATAATATAACTCATGGACATTGTTACAATATTAGTTTGCTTGGTTTCTTAATGATTTGCCTAGTATCAATGCCATAATAATAATCTCCGGCTGAGGCAGGATCCATGCAATGAGCCATACAGAAAGCATCTTTCCCAACAGAGATGACTGTAATAAGACAAAGGTTGCCAAACCAAATCAACATGATGGGGGCTTTTCTTCAGTGTAATTGCCCTGAGAAAGTAAAGGTGACTTGCTGGAAAGGGAGGGAATAACTTTAGTCAACAGTACCACCATTGCTGGTGGCTAAATGAGTTATGGAAATTCTTAACAAAGAAACTTGGATCCTAATGTCACTGCAGCAACCTAGGAAATACATTAGCCGCCTCAAGGAAATCCCCTGGAGTGCAGAATTAACAAAATGGAAAGAAAGGAATCCCAGTCAAGTAATGATTTTAAGATGAGCTGTAGTTCATGCCAAATAATTAAGAAAAACAAGCAGAAAATAGTAACAAGCACCATGAAAAGAATCAGTCACCTCCCCTGATATAAGGATTGACGCTCCATTGACAAATTCTAAGGTGATAAAGGAGTCAGACAAGTATTTTGAATCCTGGATCTTCCAACCCACATGAATTTCTAGAAATCAGCAGCAGTTCTTTGTCCTTCTGACAAAGGTGTCAGCTATGATGCTGGCTTTAAAAGATGTTTTCAGTTTGGATATACTATTGTCTAAAACTATACGCTTTTGAAGTGATGCATAACCGTTACAAGTTAGTGGCATTTTATAAAAACAGAAAAAGTTCAGTTATAAAATCCAAAGTCATGTTAAAATATTGGCGCTTGATTTCCAGTCCAGTCTTAAATGGACATTGTTTCTTTGAAGCTGCAGGTGCATTTGCGCCGTTTAGAGCCTGACTCAATGACAGCCATCTATTAGTCAGAGCTTGAAAAGGCCCTGGCAGAATTCACAGTTATTTGTGTCCATAAACATGGGTAAAAAGTCACATATTAATAATTAAAAACCAGAAAAATCCAGTCATTTCAGTCAACAAGTGAGAAAAAATTACGTATACTGGGATATTTCTCAAATCTTGATTTGCTCAGTGGATTTGTAATTCAGAGGAGTAGCAGAATTTTTTAATGTTAGGCTCATGCAGTGTGCCAGGAAATTGTGAGCATGATTTTGTGCCAACTATTATTTTCATAATTTCTGTAATATAAATGTTAAAAGTACCTATTTCCTGCACAGATCCAATATTTAGACATCCAGGGTAGAATTTGCAAAAGCACTTAATATTTGTTTGCTGTGATCCTAGTAAAGACAATGATAAACCTTCAATTAGCACAAGAAACATTAAAACATTACTAAGTAGTTCTGAAAATCCTGCTCACTAAATAGTTTACATTTTCCTGACAAAAAAGCTGTGGGTGCACAATTGTACATCTAAGCAAAAAAGACTAGATTCAAACGGAAACCATTATAACCCATGCTATGTATTGGAGAAATATTCAGTACATGAGCTGTTATCTGCCAACCTTTGAAGTAAAAATATAAACTTTTAAAACAGAGACGTAACACATACTTTTTGATTATACCCTTTCCATTCCTTCAGTGCTATTAACGGAGGACATGCACTATTCAGCCTTATTTAAGAAAATATTCTACTATGGGAAGGGAGAAAGAGAGAAAAGTAATACTGTATTATACCAGTGAGCAATCTACCAGGCTGTTATTGAAGGACACAACGTACTAATCACTTGAATTGCTGTCTGAGCAAGTAATTCAGGTTTTAGTGGACTGATCTCCTGGTACAACACTAAGAGCCCTGTTGTTTTTTTTTTCTTTTGTAGCAGAGAAGCTCCCCATGTGCTCCTTCTAGTTCTGCCAAATAGCAAGGAATGATATAGGTGAAGCTTCTGCACTATTTGACTCTACCTGGACTTACTGAAAACCAAGAAAATGTTAAACCATATAAAAAGAGAACCTGGAGTTTTTTCACTTTTTTCTTTCCGTTTTTTAGGTATCCTTAGTCTGACAACCTGAAATGGAAAGTGGCAAACAGAGAGCAGGTAAAAGACTTCGGAACCAGGACTGCTCCCCTCCAAGGAATTCATCACACAACTGTGTTGTGTATTACAGCTAGATGAAGTAAAGCTAATAAGTCAGAGTTTGCATGTACAGCCTCCCATTTCGAGAAAGAAGACAACCTGTGAATTTATTCTTTTTACGTCCTTTCCTCAGCGGACAGGAAAGGAACCATATGGACAGCGTACACTCCCAGCCAGCATCACAGCACTCCTTGTGTGCATGAACAATCATACACGCAACTTCAATTTGCTGGCCAGCAAATGTGCAAAAATCCAGATAGTGGGGAGTAAACCTCTCTCAACAGAAGACAGACCTCTTCCCTCTCCCCCACTGTGCATAAGGAGAGCAGATGTCTCCTGCACAGTCCCTTTTTGGGTGGCAGCAGGCTGAAGAGAGCAGAGCTGTGGCTCTGGCCCTTGCTCAGAGGAGGCTGCTGGTGGAGGAGCAAGGACACGTCAACAACGGAGAGGCTAGCAAAGCTTTGGAGTTATGGAGAAAGCCTCAGCTTTCTCAGCCACAGCAGCGGGGCCCCAACAGCTCTTTTGGCTTTAACGTCTTAAAAGCTACAATCCGACCCAAATTGCAGGCAGAGTTCTGGTGAGCTCCTCTGGCTACTCGGAGCAGCCTGGAGAGGAATACATGCAAAACGCAAAAACTCCACAGTCTCTGTCCTGGACCTCCAAGCATGTATTTAACTATTATTTACCATTTAATCATGTCATTACTGTCTAATTTATTTGAGAATGTGTTTTCCTCTCATTAAAACTGTTGCAATGATCGCTGCCAAAAGTCTACCCACCAGTGTTCTGCATTACTTCCCTGTGGTTCCTTTGTGATTATTTGATTAATTTTCATTGATACTCTTCCAACAATAGCATCTAAAATTAACTGGGTCAGTTTTTACATAACTTCCTGAGTCATCAGGCTACGTGTCCTAAATAAATATGTCCATACAGGAGTCAAATGATAATTTACCCTTCCAGCACTGGCGGGAGCTAGAACTTTTGCAAAGCTTGTGTTCTATGATAAGAAAACATTTTCTTCTCAGGTCTTAATTCAGGACCTTTTATTCAATCAAAACTTCATTTGGATTAAGTCAGAGGTTTGACTCAGTTGGCAGGATGTGGCCCTGAGTAAGGGGAGAAAGG